GTCGAGCTCGGGCTTGAGTTTTTGTCAACCAAAGCTCATTATCAAAATTAATGAGCCGAATTCAAGCCCTAGTGAGCCAAATTAACCTAATACAGCTCAGGAAATTAGGTAAAACACTCTGTTTCTTGAGCCTAACGAGCCAATGAGCTCAAGCTCGGCTTGTTAGTCAAGCGAGCCAAACCGAACTCAAGCCTGCACAAACCAAGTCAAGGCCCTGTTAAGTTCAAATCCTTTAGCCCGCACCTCAAAAATTCAGGGCATATTCCATGACACACAGTCAAAACCATATTAACCAAAGACCAAGATAAACACAGACAATATACCTCAAACAACCCACGAACAAGCAAAAAGAAAACAATTCCCATTTAAATCAGTGATCATAACACGAACATTACTAAAACCCCAAAATTGAAGTCTCACAGCATAATAATAATAATAATAATCATAACAAAAGCTATCCAATTCCACTAAGGGGAAAAAGAGTCTTTAGCATCTCAAGGAAACAAAACACCAACATAACGAAAAAGGAGAAGGGCCGGGGATGAAACCGGGCATGCTCAGAAGCCGAGCTTGGTGCGGCGCCAGTGGCGGCGCTTGGCGTTGTAGCGGATGGTGTTGTCGGTGCGCAGGCGGATCCAGTACGGGATGGGCCTGTTCTGCCTCTGCTTTTTGGCCAGCTTCTTCTTTATCATGAATGTCTTGTGCGACGGCTGTAAATTCAACGATCGAACACAAATACACACACATTAGATGAATAAGCTTTTATAAAACTAAAACTAAATAGAGAGAGAGAGAGACAGAGAGAGAGAACCATGTTGAATTCCTCCGGCGGTGAAAGCTCTCGTCGTCTAGGGTTTGCGGGCGGCCGTGAAATGTCGAAGTCTGCAGGCTAAGAAGCAAATAAACCCTAGTTGCCATATATATTGGGGCAGGGGACTTGGATTTATTTAGGGATAAAAATGAAAATGAAGCCTAAATAATAAATATATAGATTAAGGAATATATTTAATTGGAAATGTATTTTTTTAAAACTTCAGGAATTCCCGTGTGATTAATTTGAACTTTTAAAAAAATCAAATTTTGAAAGTGTGTGTTTGAGATTCTATGAAGTTATAAGATATTCAATTTATTTATTATTAAATTAGTACGAATCTATGTGATGCAGAAGTAAGAGATATTATTTAATATTTATAAATTAAAAATTCTCATTAAAAATATTTATAAATTAGAAACATGGAATCACTATGTAATACAATATACCTACATAATTTATTGAAAATATTATATAAAATTTAAATTGTGCAAAATTATATAAAAATGTCTATTTAAAATCAGTACACATAATTGATAATAAATTACATTATATCATTTCAAAATATGTGTTATTTTAAAATTTTTATTCAGAAATTCGATTTGACTATAACGTGATTCCACAAAATAATTATTTTGGTAAATGTTTATCTTATATTTAAAAACCTATGTGAATAATAAGTATAAATATAAAAATTATATTGTTTAATTAATTAAAATAAATTTATTTTTGTATAAAATATCCAAATCAAAAAATTTAAGTAGTTGAGTAAAAGCAATCAGTCATAAAAATTTTTATGCCAAAAAAATTAACACTTTTTATCATGCTAAAAAAATGAACAGTGCATTTCACACAAAAATTATTTGAAATGTTGTAACAAAAAATGAATTAAATCGAGACCCACTAATTATACAAAAAAAAAAAAATGAAATTGACCAGAGCTTTTTTCTAAAAAAAATATCGATACACACACAATATATCAAAATATCAGTTCATAGTATTTTGTTAGAGTTACGGTAATTTTATTATGTTAATTTTATACGAAAATTGAAATAAAAATTGAAACCAACCCATGCCTAAAAACCGATATTTTAGCCTGCACATTACAGAAAAAAAGTACATCGTATATTGATTAATTTTTCAACAAATTTCCTACAAAAAAAAAAAAAAAAACAGTTATC